ACCTGGGCAGGGAAGGCAAAGAGAGAGGGAGGGGAGCTGGGAAGGCTGCCAGCTGCAGCCTGAGGGAGCAGATGGAGATGCACTGTTATGGTTAGAGATGTGCAGTGAGTGGGAGGCACCAAAGGAGAGCTCAGACAAAGGGTGGAAACAGGGTGCAAAGGAAGAAAAAGTTCTCTTTGCAACTGTCTATAAGCATCAGGAATCCCAGAGCATTGGGAGGCTGTATTTAGTTTACATGGCGAGGTTCTGGCAACGGGGGCACTACAGAGATGGCTTCTGTGAGGAGCTACCAGAAGTGTCTGCCACGTCCAAGAGAGCCAATGCCAGATGGGTCCAGGATGAATCTGCTGCTGGCCAAGGCCAAGCCACGCAGAGATGGTAGTAATGACTCTGTGACAATATCTTGAAACAGGAAAAAAGCTCTTGCAAAGCATTAACTGTGGCCAGAGAAGAGAGGAGTGAGAATACATGAGAGGAACAACTATGCAGACATTGAGAGAAGGTGAGGGAGGAGGTGCTCCAGATCCCAGGACTGAGATTCCCCACACTGGAATAAGTGGGTACCTGAGAGGAGTCTGTGACCCCGTGGGAGGCTCCTGCTGGAGCAGACCTATGGAGAGAAGAGCCCATGCTGGAGCAGGTTTCTAGTAGAACTTGTGACCTGGGAGGGACCCACAGTGGAGCAGGGGAAGGACTCCTCTCCCTGAGGAGAAAGCAGCAGCAGAAATAGTGTGTGATGAACTCACCATTAACCCCCACTCCCCATCTCCCTGCACCATTTGTGGGAGGAGGTAGAATTGGGAACAAAGTTTAGCCTGGGAAGGTAGGAGGGGTGGGGAGAAGGCGTTTTTAGGATTTGTTTTACATATTATCTTGCTCTGATTTTGACTGCTAGTAAATTGAACCCAAGTGAAGTCTGTTTTGCCCATGATGGTAAGCAGTGAGTGATCTCTCTCTGTTGTTATCTCAGCTCCTGAGCCTTTCCTTATGTTTTCTCTCCCCTGTCTATCTGTGGGGGGAAGTGATAGAGCAGCTTTGGTGGACACCTGGCATCTAATCGAGGCCAACCCAACAAGAGGTCCAGCTGTTTGATAAGGAATAGAGTAACACAGGGGCATGGCTGTTCCACTGTAGAGCACAGGCCATGAGCAGCTGGAAAACTCCTCCTGGGATAAGTTCTTCTTAAGACCTCTCAAACAGATGTAATAGTTACAGCCAAAAACCCATTTCGTATTCCTTTCAGGTGGGCCCTGAAGCTCAGGGCCCTGGATGACTGAGCTGTTTGATGTTTTGCTCCCTATGGAAACTGGACCTATTCTATCAGGTCCAAAGGAAAAAACTTGTTTGATTAAAGAAAACAAACACACACACACACACAAATTACCAAGAAAATAAGCAAAGGATGAACATTTGAACCCAGACCTATCTACCTCAGGTAGTGTGGTGTTCAAGCTGCTGCTGTGTTGAAGGTTACATGATGCTGTGGCTACAGGTGCTGCCAGGTCAGAGCAGAGCAGGAGCCCTTTTAAATCAAAAGTATGGCTCAGGGAATGGCTGAGTCCAGGTGCCCCCATAGATTACTAAAAGCTACAAGGTGATGGCCAGAAATTACCTGCTCTAGCTGCTCTATTTGTCTTCTCCTGCATCTCCTGGTCCGGGTAACTGGATACCTGAAGAATGAGCTTTGAGACACCCTCCAGAATTCAACCATTACAATGCATTACACATAGCAGTCGATCATGAGGCATTACATGTATCCAAGGTATCTTGTGACTGGCCTTTACAACTTGGAATCTCAGGAAATCAGGTCTCCAGCCCTGCCCAACTTGCTGGCCACAGGCTGACATCCATCCAACCACCTCCTTGAACTGACGAACCCATCAGTTACAGTCATTAACTCCCTACCCACCCTGCAGCTGGGTCTTTCTGGGGCTGACATTTGAGAGTTGTAGCAAGAATGACGACAGTGCAAATTTCAGATTTGGCAGAATGGCTCAGAAATACCTGCCCAAATCTTGTAATTTACACTTCATGACCTAATTTACAGTTGGTGGGGGAAATCCAATGCAATTTGCATGTCATATCTTCCACTTTACTATGTCACACCAGAGAAAGAGAAAACTTAGAAATTACTTTAATGCAGCCAGCTATAGATGAAACAGAAAGTAACTAGCTCACATCAGGACAAGTGAGAAAGTTCACAGCTTTTTTGTGTCACCTACTATTTGTCTTCTGGCAACTGATGAAGCTGTCAGATTCTTCCTGAACAGTCTATGCCTGAATCTCAGTCACCTTGGCTGAAGGAAAAGAAACAATAGGCTGCAAGAGAACCAATGGGCCTTTGCCTCCCTTAGTCTGGAAGATGTGTGGGGCCCAGGAATACATTCTGAGTTCCTGTTCTATGTTAGAACTGTGGTTTTGTGCAAGAGCCGTATCTGTTTCACTCTTGCAAGGAACTCCAAGACAGAGAGGGAGAAGAAAGGGTCATTCCCAGAAGAAAAAGAAAACCTGAACACAATCCTGCAGGTTATTCAACCAGTGTAAAGCACTCACTTTTATTCCACACCCTCTGGATAATAAAGCACAATCAGTCTCAACTATCTCATTCCTGAGGACTTCTGAAAGCACCATTCTGAGGCACTCAGAGCTAGAGGAACTCAAAGCTTAAAGAGAATAAGTAGACTTCCATATCACATATTCAAAACACTTTTCCTATGCTCTTAAATTCAAATTGACATAGAAAATTAACAGTTCGCTCAAACATCTATCAAATCATTAAAGGCACACACCATTTTGTTGTTCTATTTCCCCACTGCAATTAATTTGGAAAGCATGAAGATTATTGCAACAGTGCTACAGTGCTTTCTTTCCATGAAGAAATCTGCCTTTAGTGTAAGTCTGCAAGGAATGGTCTAACTGGCATGTGCAAAACACAGCCTGAAGCAGTGCACATGGAGATTAAAAAGCATTAAACAACTCCCAGAGCACTGAAGGAGGCACGGTTCACATTTAGAAGTCACAGTAACCCTACACCAAACTGATTATGTGGTCATAAACCTAAGTGCCAACACACAACAGCTCCAACGACAGCGTGCTTGCAGCTTCCTTCCCCTCCCCTCCCCCAGCTTTGTCATGCCGTTGAAATCCTAGCATTCGTATCTTAAACCAGAAAAAACCATTCCCTCTACTGTTCCTTCAGTGCCAGACCTGGAACCCCCGCACTCCAGAGAAAAGACAGGGTCCAGCTGTGTGCCGGCGTGTGAGCCGGCGCAGCCAGAGCCACCGGCACTGCCGCCTTCTCAGCTCCCACTTCAATTTGGCATCCAAGGAGCATTCTTGGTGGGGCTTGGCACTCGCTCCGCCCCAGCGTCACTGGCTCGTAAGGATGTATCCGGAAGGCAGGGCTGCCTTCCCAGGGCACGGGAGCTTTCAGCTGGGACTTCAGAAGTGTTTTCAGCACGTGCAGATGTTTACCGAGTAGCTCTCCTTTGGGATTACGTCAGGATTTATCAATGTGCATCAGAACATTGATCACAGGAAAGGAAAAGAAACTCCTCGTTTCAACAGATGTACTCCAGATGTGGTTCAGAACAGTTACATGTGCAAAAACATTTTACTGTCACTTGTTCTGTTGAACCACAGAAGCCAAGACATGGGTAACTGGAGACCCATCCCACAGTGCTGATGACTCCAGTCAGCTTTTCTTAGCAAGGGCCTGAAATCTGATATCATCAGAGATGGATTGTCTCTTCTCCTCTTTTGCTCTTTATAAAAGTTTAATTTATGAGTTACAACTGCACTCAGATATTTATATAGGGAACACACACACACACACACATTTATAGGGAAGTTATCCCAAAGAGCAACATTTTTACAAGAAAAAATTCATCTCTCCTTGCACTTCAGTATGACACAATCAAAGGAAGCAGTGTATCAAGCACAATTTAAAAGTACTTTTTAAAAAGCCCAAATCACTATGCTTTAAGTCAGCTTTTAAATTTCTTGCTGAAACAATAAAAAACACAGCCAAAAATATGAATATAAAGCAATTTTAATTTTCCTCTAGATATTTATATCAAAGAAATAATACTCATGTCCAAGTATTGTACATACAATATCTTCCTTATAAACTCTGTAGTTTAAAACACATGTACAAAATTGCACATTGCAGTTTGCAAAAAATCATAAATACAGTTTTGCATGTAAACAATTCCAGCACAAGGATCAATGTCATACATTCCAAAATGTCTAAGTGTCTGCTCACAAACAAAAACAAACAAAAACCCCACTGTGATCTTCATAAAGGTCCTAATGTTACAAATCAATCATTAACAGATTTCTAACTGATGTACTACACACAGGGATACATAAATGAGCACAAGGCAAGTCGCCTTTTAGTCATTAAGTACTTAAGACAGAGGCTTGGAATACAATCCTGCTGCCATTTAAACCCACGGTATCCATCCCACAGTATTTAGTGGTAGCAGCATTGAGTTAATTTTTCCAAGATTGCCAATTGCAGTATGCCTTACTTTCAATTCTCAAACAAGTTGGCTACCACTGAACAGTAGGAATTTTAAAATTATTGTAAACACAGTTATCACTGTTGTATATTCAGTAAGTTACAGTATTCTCCTAAACACATCACTAAATTAAGAAAATGTTTTACATTTAATCAAGTGCAAGATGCCCACTAGTATTGTCCACTTTGTCTGAGAAGTATTTTGAATATAATACAGTTAGTAAAAGTAATGTAAAAAAATTACAATGGACATAATCCTCAGTTGTTAAGCCCTGTAGCTTGTTTACATTTTAAAAAATCACCACATCAGAAAAAAGGTCTCAGAAGTGTCCTTTAAAATCTCTCCTGACCAAATCCAGCAAATGAGTAGCTACTCAATTTTGTTTCACTATTATCTCCATCTGTGTGCAATGCCCTTGCCAGCATACCTGTTTGAAGACTTTCCAAAATCAATCATGTCCATGATATCCATACAGAGTGTTTTGTTTTGTTGGGGGTTTTGTTTCATTGGGTTTTTTTTTAATTTAGTCACATGCTGCAATTTTATAAAATTCTACCAAAAGCAGAGATTTTTAAAGGGTTTCTCAGAGGCTTCCTCTGTGCCAGCTAATTTAGTAAGGCAGAATAAGAATGTACACATAACCCAACTTTAAAAAAACCCAAGAAAGGATGCAGACAAACACCCACCCACCAACTAGTTGCATGTCAGCTGCTGGAAGAGCAAAGCCCAGTTTGAACTGCTCTGCTTCCACTTCTGATTTTGAAGAGCTACCCTGAAGGAGGAAGCGCCATGCCTGAAGGCCTATGAAGAACCAGCTTGGATTGAAGAACTGTAGGAAGCAGCAGTTTGCTCACACCTCTTTTGGACAAAAAGAGAGCTTGGAAATGCTGGTGGTGACACAACAGGGGGGGATTCTTAGCTTTTACAGGAAATCCCTTATTCTGTTAATCAGCATGTGGCATGAATCCCAGTAAGGACCACAGAACATACGTGATACTACCAGCAGCCCAGCCCAAGATATTGCAAGGTATTGTGATTATAGTAATGCAGATCATTAAGTGTTTTCTGCATCAGAGAAGCTCAGCAAGAACCAGAAATCACCAAGGGTTTTCAAAGCTGGGCCCTATTGCCCAAGACCTCTCCTTTATCTATGAGAGTTAGTTCCTCTGTTGAACTGACAGAAAGACATACTGCACAAAGAATAATTAATTTAATCTTTCCCAGTCTGCACCTAACTGGAGCTACTCCTTTCTAAGGGGATCTCTTTCAAGTCATACAAGATTAGCCATCATAAATACCACACAGTGAGGGCACATGTGTGGTCCCCCAAACCTCAGAAAGATTTTTCAGTGTAGGCAGAAACTGTAGGAACAACAAGTCAACTTTAGATGAGACACTACAGGAAAGAGAAACTGCCCTGGAATAATGTGCTACAACTCCATGGACGGAAAAACACAGAAAGCTGAAGAGCTACTTCACCAAAAGACTTATTCAGCAATACAGACCCAGCTGCCTTTCCTGGTAAGATGCTGCACTGGGAGTCAAGAATTACCCTCAGATATCATAAACTAGAGGTAACCTTACAGATTGAGCTTTAAGGCCAAGGAGGTCCAAGGCCCTTCACAGCAAGATACCTCTGGTACTGCCACTTCTTAATCTCTCTACCCTTTTCCCCTTCTCTCTTTTTGACCTTAAGAAGCCAGTATTCCTGATTAGCCAGTATTCCTGATAAGGAAGAGTGGGAGGGGCAAAAATCAGTGGCTAAATTTTGGTGTGCAAGACTATGCAGACTTGCCTATCATTTTCTATTTAAAAGTCAGGAATTGCACAATACATATTGCAACACTTACTCCCTTCCCTTTGTCCTGTACAAAGCAGCAAAGCACAACCAAAGCAAAATCACTGTTGGGAGTGTTTAGATTGATGGCTCACATGTCAGAAGTGCACTAAGCGTCTCTGTAATTAACAGCACTTTGCAACAAAGCAAAACAATTCTCCAATATATACTTGTGTTGGGTCTTTTGTTTCAGGTTTGGGTTTAATTCTGTTGGTTTTGGTTTGGTTTTTTTTTTTGGGGCATGTGGGAGAGTCAACAAAGCCTGAATATTTAATCTGTTACACGTGGAGGAATGCTCAAGGGGCTCGCAAGAACTTGTTTTGCTGCACATTGAGCAACACCACATGGCAAAGCCTTGAAATTAGAGCAAATGCTTGAAGACAGGGCGTAGCTGCCTTTTGGAGCTCGTCCTTCATGGGCTGCATTTTATTAGAGAGCAGACCTTTGCATCACCAGTCAGCATGCAGACCTGGGCTTTACTTGATGACATTTCAGTATGGTGGTTGCCATGGCTTTAAATAAATAAGGATAAGTGTGAAATCACTAGTCATCAGGCCAAGCAGGCAGGGGCATAGTTTCTAAAGAAGAGACATTTAGAAGACACTTATGCAGTAATAACAAAACAAAGTTAAAAAGCATTCTGAATAGCAGTCCTAATTATCTGCTACTTAAACATACTACAAATACTACCATTAAATACTGTTTCAGAGATAAGTATTATTTTTTCCTTGAATTCAATTTCTTTGTCTCGTTCCTGCTGCTGATAACTTCGACCATCATCTCTACTACCAGTGGGGAAAGGAATAAAGAAGTAAACTTCATTAGACACTATTGGACTGCTGGGAAACAGGTATCATACCATGCGGACATATCAGCTTGTGCGGTGATTTGACTTAGACTGTCAAAAGACTGTCAAAAGTCACAAGGATTTACAATACCATTTTAGTAACTGGCACAAAATGGTTTGGATTGACAAAAACACTTTGGCAGTATTTTAGGAATCCCTATTCTGAAGGTGTCCGAGCTACTTACGGCCGTAACTTACGTGACACTAAGTATAACAAGAACATTTAACTCCCTGATAGTATTTCCTCACTATTTCTGCTACCCTCCCATGAAGGATGTTAAAAAACAGAATGGTAAAAGTTGGAAAAATCCAAGAATTCAAACTCTGTCTCTACTTGTGAAGAACAGCAAGTTATATATCAGTATCTTCTACTGCTCTCTTTCCATAGCTATTACTAGGAAAAAAGAAGACGACTATCCAAAATACATTCTCTGGAGCAGCACACTAACTTTATTTGACACTACTCCACTGCTTGTGTCCTGCTTTACAAGAAAATCTGAAGATTTTTGAAACAGAGGTGTGGGAAAGATTATCAAGTTCAGTATGTTATCTTTCAAATTACTCAGCATGTACCAGAAGACTATCTTTAGTTAGTCAGTTAGTTAGTTAGTTAGTTAGTTAGTTAGTTTAAAACAGTTAGTTCTTAAAGGTCAATTTTCCATATGAGGCAGGAGGGACACATCCCTTGGGGCAGTGGGAAGCTGTCTGAAGAGGACAAGAAAATGGTATCAAACAACTCCTCAGAGTTCAAGCTATTGGTCATGATTTTTCACCTATTCAGACCATTGTTTAAGAACAGGGATGCAGTGAGAAGCCTGACTCTTAACAGCTCCAGCTTTCTTAATCTATGACAGAAGTAATACCACAATTGGACAAACACTGATTGAAACTGAACAATTGCAAGACATGCTTCAAGGTACTTATTAGAAAGGTTTTCAAATTTATTAAAATAAATTTTGAGATAAACAGGACTCAACCTAAAAAAGTAATTGAACTTGCAAAACCAAAACAGAGACTGCAACCAATGATTTTTCTCCTCCCCCTTGTATGGGATGGGAGTCTTTTACTGATCTGCAGCAAGACAGCTCTCCAAGGCTGCATGGACCCTATTTAGGTGACTTACAATTCCACCCATACATGGTTCTTAACCAGTAAGTAACAGTAGTAGTAAATCTTGTCAGCAGTGTGCTAAATATCAGAATGTAGCAGTGTATTAGTGCACAGTGAACTGGTCATATCTATTATCTCCATGTCAGCAAGGCTTCAAACCCAATCATCACTAAAGAAATGGTCATTCTTTAGCCAGAACATTTACTCCTGAAACTATTGCAGACCCTATTTGTTACCAGTACTAGAAATTGAGAGCAAAGCTCCATTTACAGCTAGCTATGCTATGGATAAAGACTTTTTGACAGCAGACAAAAAAGCAAACATCATGTAGGTAATTATTTAGGGTGACTACTTTAAAACATTATTTATGATAATCATAACTTCACCTTGAAGTAAACTACTACACATGAACTGCAGCATTTCAGATAGCATTAAGGCTAAATGTGACTTCAAAGTAAGTTCTCTTTTTGTGTTAATTTAGCATTGCAAGGCTTGACAGTCCTCCAATTTAACTGGAAATCTAAAAAATCACCTTGTGATCACACAAAGAAATGCAGCATAGTTGTCTTCTGGAAGAATTTGACCACAACAAAAGCATATGAAAAACCCCACTGTGTACTGTTGCAGCTAAGAAAATCCCAGTTCCTTCCTTTGGCCATCCCCTTCTCTATGTATGCTGATGTCTACACACAACACCTTGACATGAATTTCCAGGTATCTGTGCTTCAGAAGAATTAGTTCATAAAGGCTGGATTTGCTGTTTCTTCAGTTAGTCCTCATTGACTTGAGAGGATACCGCCCAAGCAGGACTCCAGCACAAGAACTCATGTCCCCTGCAGACACAAGATCAAGATTCAGAGTTTTTACATCAGCAACACACTTTTGTCAAGACTACTCTACTGAAAGTTGCATTTCAATGCACAGCACTGGTGTGAAGATACAGATTCTACATTGGTTTCCTTCCCCCCACCACTGTCTCCCCAGTGGGACACTCCAGAGACAACTAGAGCAAGGCATTCTGACTGAGCCATTTGAAGCTAACTGTTTCAACATCCAAGCAGAGATCCGGTTTGTGACTACATTGATGCACAAAGTAAGCCTTCAGGTATGCAATAGCTTAAGAAAAAGTGCTCCCAGACTAAGGCAAACAGCAAGGATCAATGCCCGTAGCAAGGCAACAGGATGGTGCCTCGGAAAGCTACTCTCATTATGATTTGTGTGAATACATTTCTAGACTCTTTTAGCAACGCAGAAACAACAGCAGGTTCTCTACTGTGCACTCACTTGCAGTGTTTCTCAGAAACCTACATTTAGCTTGTCACACATGACCAGTTCATGGAGAAGTCACTTCTGTCCCGCCTCCAAGTAACTGAGTCTTTATGAAGAGAGAAGTTTCACAGCACAAACAGCTGCAAGACACTTCATAGGATAAAAAGAGACAGATCTCTGAAACACTGGAGAGGAGTAATCAAGAATTACTAAAACCTCTTGTCCCCCATAATTTACCATAAAGGCCTGAGTCTCCATATATTCAGATTTAATTCAACATCTTCATAGTGGAGTTGCACCATGTGCGGCAAGATTAACAAGGGTCTTACAAACTTCAGATTCTGCACTTTTTCACAGGAACATTTATCATTCTTCATCAGATACACTAAACCCTGATGCAAGTGACTGTGGTGTAAGAAGGATGAGTTAACATTTGCAGGATTACTATGCACTGTGAAAGTTTTTTGTCCAAGATTTTTTCTGCTGATACAGGTATTGCCAAATACTGAAAGAGGTGAATCCCTGACAGACTCTACTGGGTTTAGATGCCCACCTCTGCTGGAAGATGAGCAGTGACTACAAAGTCACTACAGCAGTCACTACTGATCCAAAGAATTGACCAATGAGCATCAAAACAGGGTAAGAACTCTTCAACACTCATTCTTACAGTAAGACTTAAAAAAAACCTGGAAAAAAGGAAGTGATTTTGTACAAATCAAATATGTACACAGATATGTCATACTCCAATTTGTCCACTTGCTAAACATAGAAACTTGGAGAATCAAGTAAGGAAAGAGCAAAATTACCCAGCAGCAGTTACAGCTGCACATATGAATAAACTAAAATGTTACTCATTGCTTTCCTTTTTTAACTTGCACTCCAGAAGCAGGACAGATAAAATGCATCAAAGAATGACCTATGTTACAAGCAGATGGGTCTTTTTCTCTTGCATATTAATCTCATACATAGAAAAATTTTCTCTAAGAAGCTGCTGGATTCAAATAGTTAAGACTCTAGTTATGGCAGCTAAGATGTTATTTTCAGCACAACTAGTAATTCAGACCTGGCATGCACCTGTACTTCAGACACTATCAAACAATACTATTCAGTATTTTGGGAAGCATCAATCACTTGTATAACTGATTAAAAATTAGTTGCCAAATCAATTTCCACTTTAACAGCCGCAAACTGCAGAATGCCTCAGGGCTTAACCTGGGGAGGTCACTCCTCTGTCAAAGGTGAGACAGAGAGTCAATGAGATATTTAAAGGAATGAAGGATGCTTCATGACTCTTCTGGAAAGATACAAACACAAACCAGGATGACAGAGAACTCTCATAGATCCACCCTTGATCTCAAACAGAGCATGACAGTCAGTAGTAACTACTGCCATACAGTGAAGAGTCCAGATGTGTTGAGATATTTATCTTTTTGAAGACCATCAAAGTCTTGTAACAGAAAACATGACCATCACCACCAAAATCACTCCTCACCATGATCAGGACTTATCATGACCAAACACCTCTGATTCTCAAAGTATGCAAAGTATTTGCTTTTGGAAAGGCTCTCTAAGCATACTGAATGGGCTCGACCTGGAATCACATCAAAAGTTTTAAGAACAACTCACCAGCTACTTGGACCTCTCTGGAGACCTTGTGATTCCAACAGACTTCACTACACTGGAGACCAAACCAATCAACTTTCCTAGCACCAAATGGCATCATTTGAGTCAATGCTATCAGAGTGGCTTCCTTGCACTCACATCAAGTAGCGCCAGATCTGATGGGGGCTCCACCCTCTGCCCAAGGAAGGAGTGAACAAGTCTTCTCTTACTGAAAACATTCCCCCTCCTACTTCCCAAGACAGAAAAGATCTGATAACAAGTCAAATAAATCAAATCCATATATGAATCAAACTCTTTTGCTGTAGCACCTAAATAAGAAGGCACTTCACATCTAAACCAAGATATTAGTTCAAGCACATTCAAAAATTTAAAAAACCATATGCACATCCAGCAACCAAAACAGACAAAGGAGACTATTTAGTCTCCAGAGCAGATTACACCTGGGGCAAAGAAACAGGGGACGTTCGTCACGGGTTCACATCTAGACTGAAAACCATATTGGAAAGACATGAAGGGTAGCCTGCAAATCAAGTCATGCAGCATGAGTCTTTGCAAGGACTAGAAAATAGTATGCACAAATATAACAAAGCATGGTAGTTTTGAAGAATGAAAAAAAAATGCTAAAAAGCACTGAGCTAACAGTGAACATAATTATTTTATTTGGGGATTTTAATTTTTTTGTTTGCTTTTTTATTTTGTTTTTGAGGGGTTTTGGTAATTTTCTTTTTTTTTCCCTTACAGTAACACACAGCCAACTTGCTTGAAGTTACTGAAAAGGAGCTACATGGATGCAAATCATATAAACAGTCTGAAAATTTTTTACCCAGTATCTTTCTTTTAATGTCTCACAGTGACCAAAGTTTTCAGCAGAAAACCAAAAAAAACCTAAAATACACATATGTTTAACAACAAACTGAAGAAAAAAGGCAGACAAAATAGAGAGGCCATATTTAAAGGTTTATGAACACTGCAGGGCTAAAAGTCAGAGTATTGATAAGTTTTAGAAGACAGGAACAATCAAGTCTGACAGCTGCAGCAGGTAGGTACTCCTGAGTCTTTTAATATTGGTTTAAAGTGTTAGGTGCTTAGGCTTTCAACTCAAAATCTGCAAAAATGCAGCAACCCTAGCAGAACCAGTCCAAGCAGGAAAAAAAAGTACAAACACCCCAACACTATTCTCAAATTTTGGTCATGTCACTGTTAGATCCTGTTTCTCAGCCTAAATGCCAGATAAAAAAACCATTTATGAAGGTAACTGATCACTCTACAGAAAACATATTTCTTTTGGATGACTCCACCAGAACGGTAACCTCTGGCAGAGAGCTGAAACTATCAGCCTCACTAGTAATCTCTCATCAGTCATCAGGGTAAGAGAGCTGGCCTGTCACCACTTCTACCACTGAACAGATGTCAGCTAGAACAGAAAGCAGGCTATCAAAGAAGTTACCGTATGAGGTCTTTGAGATGCTGTGTGTGAGACTGCTCTTGCAGATAGTTCAAACTCAAGTGAGGTAACGTGGGGTGGTTTTCAGCTTTAACATTACCATTCTGGAAAGGGGGAGCTCACTGTAACCCTGCTAGACTATAGCCCACTAGAGTCTTGCCTGTGTCTGGGAAGGGGAACTGCAGTGATTTCCCATGCCTTATGGATCCCCTATGTTGCTTGGATATTGCTAATTTATTATGAGCAGAAATTAAAAATAAGTAAAGAAGCATTGCACAGCTGCATTCGTTGTTGTCCTGTGTTCTACCACAAGACCTTTACCTAGCCCTACACTCAAATACAAAGACAAGGACCAAAGAAGAGATGCTCACCCAAAAATTCTTACAATTTCTCCCAGGATTCCTTAAAAAATCCCCACCTTATTACATATGCAGTAAAGTATCTCACATCTACCTTACTCACTATGGAAAAGTGTTAAGTGTGGGGGGAAAGAAGTTTTTTTATCAGTTTCTCCAGACTTGCAGCATCTCTGCAGACGACAACTACCAAAGAAAAAACCCTATTTTTCACCCAGTTATTATGTAACAGGCAGTGCTACAGATTGTATGCAGTATGGTTCAGAATGCCCCTAAGAAGTCTTTGAACCTGTGTTAAGATCAAAATATTTTTAAATCTGCTCATTAGTAATTCTAACAGCAGAATGTACTGTTACAGGCAATCATTTCAACCACCAAACAAGGCTCTGGTGACATGATCGAACAGTTATACAATTATTAATATGGCTTCTACCTAATTTGCATATGCATTAAGAAATATCCTCCAAGCTATCTCAGCTACAGAAAGAGTGTAACTACGCATTCTCATATAAATTCATACATGTGCCAGGAATGACTGCACTAAAAGGAAAAGCTCATACCCTTGATTGCTGCAGCTCAACTTTCTGAACAGATAGCACTCACATATCCCCAATAAGATCATGAAAAACTGTGAGTCTATCCCATTCTTATTGGATTTCAAATCATCAGCTGTAGCCTTCAGAAGATGTGAGATGTTTACCAGCTCCCGAGTGGCTTTAACAGATCTGAGCAATTGCTGTACACATAGAGACGTCTATGCCCTCTTGGCTCCTCATACCCCTTTTCACCAGCTGGCACAGACACATATCCCCATGAAAGATTTGCCTCTGAGTTCAAGCAGAGTTTTTAGCACAGTTTCAACGAGAGAAGAGGGCCCCATACTGCAGCTGGATCTGCTCAGGAGAAGCCCTGCCTTTCCCCAGCGGCAGGGCCGGCCCGCAGCCTCTGCACAAAGGGGCTTCTGGTGAGGTGACCGTCACACTCCGACAGACCCTTCCCACCGCACCATTGCCACAGGGCTCGGCAGCGCTGCGCTAGCGGCTATGCTCGAAAAACACAGATGCAGCAGAAGCATGGAAGGCAGTGGCACCGAGCAAGGGACCTAAAGCTTTCAAAAACTTATTGAGGATTATGTCTAATCAGAAGAAATAGTTCCTTTGCTATACTCTTCTACTAGTAAATTCTTGACAAAGAAATAAATCACACCGAATCTTCCCAACCAGAAAAACACTTCACATTCTAGCATTGACTCTGTCTCTAGAGTATTGCAGAAAGTTTCTTTAGAACAAAGTAGACCAAGAAGCAAGATACACAGATTTCTACTGAAAAATAAATCTAGTCCTCCATAATATTTCTGTGATTTATTCAAACAGAATACAATGGAATTATCACCTTTACAGCTAACCCACCCCAAATCTGAGCCCTTTTCTGTATAGCACTGAATTGTTACTATACTATGGAAAGAGCACGCACTACTGGAATGTACACAGTGAAGGGAAAAAAAATAAAGCTCTTTTTGCCAAAGTAACCATTTTCTCTACTAACGTGTTATCTAGAAAAATAAGGTCTAGGCAACGTCCAAAAAGTGTTCAAGTTTCAATAAATAACTATCAATGCCCCAAGCTTGCACTGGCACAAGAAATATGGAGCATACAGGTTTAGAAAACTATTTTCCTATGACTGAGTCAGCAATGCAATTCAATCTGCTTTAAGATTTACAACAAAAAATCATTTCCCTCCAGGGTTCGATTTGAAAATCAAAGCCATATAAGTGCAAGAGCACCCACATAGCTGTCTTAACTCTCAATGGCAAATTAAAGCTCTAGAGAAAGACAGTATTTTAAAAAAGGTTCTTTATCAATACCAAGAAAATATACATAGCCATATTATGTTTTAAATATATATATACACGCACATCTTTTCAAAAGGTACGATTCTGGCTAATTTTTTTTAAGTTTGAAAAGCTTATCCATTCCTATACAGTTCAGTAAGGTGTATTAGGAAACACACGTATTATATCCCCCATGAAAATAAAGTTGAATCTTTCTGTAAACAGTAATTTTCTTATTTTCGGAAATCTCTACAGACCTCAAGTACTTCACTGAAAAATTAACAACCACCTGCCCCAGAACCACCCACGGAGACCCTCGCTGCTGAATGCGACATCAACAGAACTCGGGAAATGCTTAGCAACACCCGCTCCCGCAAAAAAACCGCCGTCTCCGGGCGCAAATAAATAATAATAATAATAATAATTAATGATAAAAATAATAATAATAGCAGAAGGGCGGCAGCAAGCGCGCACCTTGGCCCCGCGGTGCCCCCGGGCCCCTGGGGCCGGAGCCGGCGGGGTGTCCCTCCTCAGCAGGCGCTGGTCTCCGGCGCGGCGGCGGCCGCCTCGGGGGGAGTCTCCCGCGGCTGGGCGGCGGCGTGAGGAGGAGGAGGATGCCCGGCGGCGTTGATGTGGCAGCCAGAGGAGAGGTGGCTGCGGACACGACCCTGCAGCTGGGTGACCTGGGCGCGGAGGAGGTTGGCGGTGGCGGCCAGCTCGGCGTTCTGCCCCTTGAGCGCCTTCACCTTCTCCTCCAGCCGGGCGATGCGCTCCAGCTTCCGCCGGCGGCACTTGGAGGCGGCGATGCGGTTTCGCAGCCGCTTGCGCTCTGCCTTCAGCCGCTCCTGGCTCTCCGCGTCCAGCGGCGACAGCGACGGTGGCGTCGGCGCGCTACTGCCACCCTCCCCGCCCGCCGACGGCGGCACCTCGGGCACCGTCTGCGGCTCCTCCAGAGACCGCGCCGGCGGCAGCCGGCCGCTTCCCAGACCCGCGGCCCCGAAGGCCAGGCCCGGCGGCGGCGGCGGGGCGGAGGCGGAGGGGTAGGCGCTGCCCGAGGGGCTCAGCGGCCCCGCGGGGTTGAAGCCGCTCAAGTTGGTGTAGACGGCCGGAGGGTCGGCGGCGGCAGTGGCGGGGGCTCCCGGTGGCCCCGGGCGGGCGGTGCAGCAGGGTCCCGGCGCGGAGAGCGGCGGCGGTGCCGCCAGGAGCTGGTTCTGCTTGTGCAGGTCGGCCAGGGCCTTGACGAAACCGTCGGCGAAACCCTCCTGTTCCTGCGTCACCGGCTGCCGGTAGAGGA